GTTAGTTGACCACTCCTCATGGGGGCTTTTCAGGGCCAATTCCCACCCATCCCACCCCAGGGGAGGACATCCACAACACAGTGATCTCGTGCGAAGGAAATTAACGTCTCCTACCCCTAACCCTGCAGGAGACGGGGCCTACGGTTTATTCGTCCTTATCCGAGAAGACTAGAATATCTATCCATTTCTTGATTATAGAAAATTGAATCAAAACAGATTTTGTAGAGTACACTACTAACTTTGATCAAAGCCTCTTACTTCGTAACATTTTCACTGCAACAATCCGACAGTTTTGCTTTGGAGGTTTTCCCTTGTTCTTCTTATCTGCGGAAGATTTTCCTTCGTTTCCTGTTTCCACCTCTTTATTCAACTCAGCGCTGTACACTTTTCCAAAGGCTCCTTCTCCAATTATCTTACACAAAGAAATGTCGTCAAAAACAACTTCCCATGGATCCACGAGCTCTGAGTTGGACCTGAAAATGAGTGTGGAATTTCATAAGGTATTATGAGATTACTGCAAACGTTGTGTCAGTGTGGCAGTGGTACGTTAAAGAAGAAGCTTTTGTGATTGAAGACTCTTTGTAGCCTTTGATCAGCGAGTTTGCCTAAGCTGTTTTCCCCCTGACGAACCAAGAATAGACTAAATCCGCCAAAATTTAAGGGCGCCACTGAAAAGTTGTACTTTTGCAGATTGTGATTGTACTTTTGTGATTGTGATTGTGTTCAATTCATATCATGTTATGTCTTTTAGCAATCATGTACTATAAAATCTTGCATATTTTTCTCTTCAATTTTGCAACAAAAAACTAGCTGACTGTATCTGTACAGAATTGTTTTCATACCCTCACTACTGTCTATTTCAGCTTGCTGAAAAAACGTTTATCGGTTTGAGGTTTTTTCCACTCAACTCGAGACTAGCAGGAAGCATAATGGAAAATTTGCTCACCGACGTTTTCTGAAAAATTTCAAAGTGATCCATAATATTCCACTAAAACACAGGAGAACCACAAGTGAAATTCCCAACCATAGAGCAACCAGTGGCAAAGATGACCTCATAGAGAAGGGTTCACTGTGAGTCACATTCTTGTCATTGTCTGCGTATGAAACAAGAATACAAAACCTAGAAGAAAGTTCGCCATTAATATGCATATAAGAAAATAATATAAACTGACCGCTTCCCGAATGGGGCTTTTCAAGGCCAATACAGAAAAAAATTGAAAATGTAGATAACGATAGTGTTGAATAATCCTTGGTGACAGGAGGCAGACCACTTGGGTACAAAGGAGTGATACTCGGGGGAAACGATGAACAAATTCAGTGAGGAGCGGGGCGGAGGGCTTGGACCCGTCACCAAACCTAAGAAATGTAAAATATGGCCTTGAAGAAATTCTTACCTGCACAATTGTGAAAATTGCAGCTTCCGTTAGAAAAACTGCTTCCGTCGCAATCCAGTCCGTTCCATTTGGGCCTCGGATTGGTGCATGTTCGAACACGTGATCTTGTTCCTCCGCCACAAGTCGGATTGCACGGTTGCCATGGTGTCCAATGACTCCAGCTACCATTCACTAAGAGCCAAATTTAGGAAAGTACTCTAACTCAATACACTGCTAAACTCAACTTATTTTCGAAAATACGTACCATGTATTTCTTAATACTAGACTCACAGTTTTTTCCACGTTAAACAGCTGCTTCGCTTGCTAGTCAACTCCCCATAATTTCTGCTCTTTTTTCAAATTCCCGTTGAAAGTTCGAGTACTCAGAAGTCGTCAGATATCCTTTCTTTTATTCATTCGTTTATCTATTTATCCACTCACTTTATTAAATTTTTTAAGTAAAAACTAAATTATTAGCTCGAGATTTTCATTCACGTGATGGTTGTTGAGGTTTATGCGTGGTTGTTGAAGACCTAATCAACAATCACGCATAAAATCGAAAGCGTTTAAAACTTGACAACGACAGGCTCGTGTATTTTGTTTTTTCAATTGTTTGTTTACAGGCTACTCACTTTGCTCACCCTATATCACGGAATAGATAGCAAGTAACAGATAGCCATTCAGGTTGCATCATTTGTGACAGAAAGCTAGTAGATTTAAACTTATAAGGACCCGATCAGTCAGGACGGCAAAGCCAGGGAACACGTCGATTAGAAAATCTCTTTAGTTAGAATTTTGTGAATGGTCTGATGTGTTTACCTTCTCCTACGGGACCACACCTCAACTAAAACACAATGTATGTGAGGAGAGTTAAGTTCCCGACGGGTACTTATATGATTTGACGTTGAGATTTCGTTCACAGACTACGCAAAGTTTGGTGATTCACGTTGTTGTTTTGCAGACAACGGTTAAGAAATGAACAAAATTTTAAAACGCACGTGCTGAGCTATCGTTCTGTCCAATAGATTTTTTTTAAGTTTTGCCATGTCCTCTTCCCTCTTTGCACCGAACACTTACCTTCCACAAAGCGATAGACAAAGTTTGACCAAGGGGTTCCCACTCCATAGGATAGAAAACAATTGTTGTGTCTTCCATACTTGTCGTAAGTAATGCTTCCATTGACTCCGCTCCAGCATTCCTTATAATTTTGGATACCAAAATAACGAAATCCGGCTTTAGAAACATTTACAGCGCATGCGCGAATAATACTTGAAAATGAGTTGTTCATGTCTCTCCAATCTACCAAAAATGTGTGCAGTAATTTGGGCAAAGCGCGCTGGTTTTTATCCCTGAAACACCCAACACGTTCAAAACTGTCCACCGTTGATGCGTCTAAAAAAGATAACAATAAGAATTAGAAACAATCAAACGTTGTTTTCCTCTATCAGAATTTCCATTCAGATATTCGCGTGCATGCTCGTATTAACATGAATTTCATTATCTGGATTAGTGCGCCTATAATTTTAAAGATATGAAATTCCGAAACGCCTAGTTGTTATCAAGGGGGGTGCACGGGGTCCAGGGGCATGTAAATATTCGAGAAAACATTATTTTAGGCATACGTTGAAGTTAGAATTAGTCTAAAAATCTCCTTAATTTCTGTCTTTGTCCACCACTCAAAAAGTTACAGGTGCAAATAGTTTAACAGCAGGCGTCTACCGGCTTCTAATGAAAAACGCCAAAAGGCATATCGAATTGATTCCTGTTAGAACTGATTTATTTAAGTATCATTTTTTAAGAGTAACAGCAACTTAGAAAAGTCCTCCCTCGGATATTAAAACGAAAAAACAAAACTTCGTCATCTGAATGAGTTTATTCTGAGAAAGATGAAGTTTTAGCAGTAAAAATAAAGGGTTTGTAATTAAAATTTTCATTTATTTCGAATTGGTAACAACACAGTCAACGTAAAGCAAAAAGTCAATAGAAAAATTGGAAAAAGGGAAAAAGAAATTTGTTTTGCAAATGAAATTACATGCAACGTAGAGCCGTTGCAGCTGATGTGACCATTTATTCAAAAATAGTAGAGAAATACGAGAAATCAACTTATATCAACAAATCAAATTATATCAACAAATCAACATATATCAACAATTTCTTTTGGAAAAAAAAAATTGAAGTTTTGAGCATCTTTTCCATTTGTCCCAGCGGAAGATATCGTCTACATCTATTGCTGCCTAATATGTTCCATACTTGAGTACGCCTGTACTGCATTTGCCAGTTTACCGTCCTACTTATCTAAGACCTTAGAGTCAGTGCAGAGGCGTGCTCTCGCCATTATTTGGCCAGGTCATTCGTACTCAGATACCCTGATGCTAGCCGGTATTGAAACCCTTGAAGCACGCCGTAGTGCTGCCTGTGAATCCTTTATAAGTCGTATTCATAATGACAACCCCCTTTACTGCAATGTATGCCGACGTTCGTAAATCTTCAGACCGCTACAATTTAAGAAAAAATCGTACTCACTATCACTCCAAAAAGTCCACCGATCGTTTTAAGAACTTTGTGACTGTCAAGTACTTGCCAATTTCATCATACTCGTTTTTCTATTATAAACATTATTATCATTTTTGGTATTATTATCATTGTTATGTACATGCTGTTTTTACTTGTATGTAGTTTAATGCATTTTGTACAGTTTTTCCTTTTTTTTCTCCCATAATTCTTGTTAATATAATTTATAAACCTGTAATTCAGCATTCTCTGCAAGAGGTTTGAATAAACGTTATTATCATTAAACTTTATTATCATTATCATCCTTTGGAAATACGTATTATGATAATATAAGGTAGTTTGTTTGCGGAATAATTCTTATTTCCTAAATTTCTTTGCTGTTGGCCCGTTTCCATGACGACGCGATTGGTATCAGCTGCCGCAAGAGTTAGATTTAATAAATTTTCGTTTTTCTTCTAATAAATGTATAGTTTCCCTGAAGAGAAAACTTCTCCTACTCCATGTACTCCCCGCAACTCGTACATTTGTTAAAAAATTATTTCTGTGAATATTATCAAGTAAACAAAAGTTAACTGAATCTCCAAAAATTAGAACCTCCAGCAAGTTGAAAACTTTTACCTTGATTAGAATACTAGTTTCAGATAAAGAATTTATATTTTTTTTCCATTTTTCTACAATTTAAAGTTTTGAATTATAATTCTCTTAGATCTGACCGAATTAAATTGAAGTTAAAAGATCAAAGATTGGTTTTGGCCAAGAAGTAGGAATGAATATATACCATGACAACGCTTGAAGTATATTTACTTTGTAGGATCGAGAGGGTATTTGTTATTCTAAGCTGAAAATGTAATAAAAAAGGATGCAGTTATGGAATAATTGTATTCAGGATTTAGGTTCTTACATTTTGAGCAGCTTTCTGTAGCGAAGAAAAAGACAACAACCAACTATCTACATGGGAGATCAAAATGAGTTAATTTTTTTTAGTACCTCTCTTATTCACAGCCAATCAATCAAAAATAAAAAAATCTACCCACGGATTATATAGAGACAACGTAGGCTCCGAAAACAAATTTCCTGACGAACTTTTGTTACTTAGTTGAAATTATTTCAGGCAAGCATTCGCTACCCCGCTAATTAAATTAATGTGGAATGTAGTGTGAAGTTTTCTTTCGCAGTAATAACTGCGTCCCAAGCGAAAATGAAATACTATTTTGTTCTCTACAGAAAATGCTTTCCACTTACTCAACTGTGATGCCTTTTTCGGTAAAACTCCTTCACTTAACCAAACTTGAAGCATTATAACCAATATCATGATCTGTAATCCGAATCGTAAGTTGAATTTCTGGTGGTAACATTTCTGAGTAAGGTTTTTTGGATTCA